TATTTTGCGGGAGTCCCGCGAATCATTTTACTCTCCCGCATCCCGCACACACACGAGTCTCTTCCCGCCCATCAAGAGTTGTCCCGCGCCGCACCCTGTTGCGTTGGGTCCCGCGGTACTCCCGCGGGAGTGCAGGTCTCTACCTCAATGTCCTTGACAGCTGCTGAACATTACTGCAACACAGCTATTTGTGACAGATACCGCGACCTACAGCCGGCATACAAGCTCAGCCACTGTTGTTATATGGGGAATTCACGTACACAAAGTACAGACTGAAAAACATTTGCGCAATGCCAATATCCTCACCATATCACAGAATGACCAGAATATCTCATCAATGTGAATGAAATAACATGAAATCCAAGACCCCACTCTCCACTGCTGTCATTCAAAATACTGTTTACCTTTTAAATCAAACATATTTATATTAAATGTACCCCTAGAGCTGCGGACGAGTTTGTATATGACACAGCCAACGCCAAAACGATTCTGAGGCATTTAATTTGAGAATGAATGAATCATCATCATTATTAACAGACAGGAACAGATCTGAAATACTTACAGCCGGGTGGCTTTTCACTTGTTTCAATACGGTACTCAGCATGTCAAACTCCCAAAATATATCTATACAGCAGAATTAATGAGAGTTCTGATGGTGTTTGTACGCTCTGATGTGTGCTTCTGAAGCGGAGTGTGAAAGGATATATAGGCTTAGATCTCTGCCACAATTCTGCGCGCGAATGATGCCTGATACAAATGCGCTGTTGAAGGACTAGTACAGCTGCTACCTTCTGGCGACAGGGGGCGCTCGCGGGTAACACATTCCTCCATTGAGACTCATTCAAATGTCGTGCCGGAAATATTCGTCCTTGTAATCAAATACTGTTATGGCCAAGCAAAATAAATCATACATTTTGGTGATCTGCCAGAATATAAAACTAATCTATTTAGCAAAAAGCTCTGGGATATGTTAAGTTTAGTTGAATCCTCCGACATCTGAAATTATATCTTAGAATTTCTTAATTGGTATTTTTTAAAACATTAAATTAAATTATATCATGTCAGGACAATATGTGAAATCTGACAAGGTAGATAGGAGCAGCAGGTATGAAACTAAATCATTTGAAATAACTGAATTTTTTTTAAAACATACAAATCTGGTTTAGTGCATATAAATCACATGATGGCATGAGATTAGCACTTAATAATTTTTCTTTTGATAATCTTGACAGTCAAAATCACAGTATGTTATTTCTCATAATATCACCCACTTGGAATTTATTAAGACAGAACACACATTCACCCACTATTGTTGCTCAATTCTACTTTATCGGTGCCAAAAACGCACTGCAGACATGCAAGAATTTAAGTGATCTTTAGAAAGAAAAGAGTAAATAATGTATCATCAATGCACACGTAGTTTCCCATGCACTTTCCAATGGGAAGGCAAGTTTAAACTCATCTGAATATTAAAGCATTTCAACCAAAGCTTTAAAAAAACAACAAACATCATGTGCGCAATGAGCGTATTGAATAAAGAAATACTTTGAAGTCAGATAATGTCACCATTTACATTCTATAGCTTATCTTTAGCAAAAATATATGTGCAAACAGTACAGAGCTCCTAACTAATCATACATTCACGTACAGAATCATCTAAACAAATATAAAAATAGCATATGTTCAAGGTATACCATGTAAACATTCATTAGACACAAAAAAACACTCTACTTTTGAAAAAATATAAAGGGTGAATTTAAATGTACCATTAGAGCATGACTGTAACATTCAATTTAAATAAGAACATAAATATACCTACTGATGTGGTCTATGACTGTAGTAATCCACCCACATACTTTCTTCAATAAACTTTTCAATAAGCAAAACTAAATAAAACTAAAGTAAAAATATATTTAAAAAATGCATTTGCCAATTTATTTTTTCATTGTAACAGTGAAGTGGGTGGTAAAATGCTAATTTAAAATACAAGCATTGCGTTAATAGTACCATTGGCCTATTCAACATTCATTATCTATAAGAACAGCCTTCTCCTTATAAAACTGCCCAAATTATTAATCCATAAATCTATCAAGTCTGCCATTCCAAGAGGATGTTTTCACCACTCTCACTGACTCACAAAGAAATGTGGTATTCTCTTATTACAATTACTTTTTAAATTAGAAAATAAGCTTTTACTTTTTCCACCATTTAACAATGAAAAAATTTCATTTTTAAAAGTAAGGTCACATACTAGGCAAATGCGATATTAAAAAGTACTGAGTGTTTTTAAAGACAGTCACTTTCTGTCTCTCTCACGCAGAGTAGCAGATGCCAAATTCACAGTTTTTTCTTTTGTTATTAACTCCTCACTGTCCCACCCAGCAGGACCCTGGAGAAACTGAGAGGCTGCAGATCAGGAAGTCCACTGGAGGTAGGAGGGGCTTCGGGAGATTGACAGGGCAGAAGGCTGAGCCTGTGTGTGTGGAGAAGTTCACTTTGTTTGGGTCGGGGCAGGAGAACATGTACACTTGGTCCAAACATGGAAGGCTGAATTTGAGGATGGGGTGGAAAAAAATGCACAAGATGCACAATAGTCAAGACTGCATTAACCACTCAGAACACCAACAGCAACCACAGAGCAACACCCTAGCATTGTATGCCGACTTACACGTTTTCTTCACACACTCGGACTCTCTCACAACCCTCTGGTGGATCTCTCTGAAAGCAGTAGCTGTTATTGGGCCGTGGTGATGAGGACAGCATTAGGATACATGAGCTGACCTCAACTGAGGACAGAGCAGTATCAGTCAGTTCAAATTAAACAAAGATACATAGTAAAGTGGCCAGATTTATGAAATGGAAACCGGGGGCATTTCCTAGTTGAGTGGTCAAAATATACTTGAAATCTCACTTGTTATTATCTATGAATTAAAAATGGGGACAATACATTTTTGTATGTTTTTTAGCAAACAGATAAAAATAGTATTCTAACAAAATTATTTTAAAAACACACACATTACAAAATGAGATGTCCACAAACTGGGAATATACACTACACAATAATTACACTTTTTTTAAAAACTTTTTAAATATAATTTTTTTACATTTTATGTTTGTGCTATAAAATGGATCGTTACTATCCCTAATTAGGATTATTATTTTGCAGTTTAAAGCGGACATAACACACAGTTTCTGCCAGTCTCATGTTAATCTTGAGTACCTATAGACAGAGGTGTAGCAATAGGGCAGGCAAGGCAGGCAATTGCCTGGGGCCCCGCATTTTGAGGGGGCCCCTCTCGCGTTACGCTGGGTGTGCCTGCTTTTTCCTCGTGATGCGTTGGCTGCTGTTTTCAAACTGGCACAGCGCTTACTCGTGCATTTGCTAATTTAAACATGAAGAGGACTTATCCGTCTGGCAGCCAGAAGCAGAACACAGCAAGAATTTCTATTTCAAATAAATTATGTTCTTCTAAACTTAATATTCAAAAAATCGTATAGTTTAATTCTTAAAAACGTATCATGGTTTCCACAAAAATATTAAACAGCATGACTGTTTTCATCATTTTCATCGTTTCTTAAGCATCAAATCAGCATATCAGAATGATTTCTGAAGGATCATGTGACACTAATGGCTGCTGAAAATTCAGCTTTGACATCACAGGAATAAATTACAATATATATTCAAGTAGAAAACAGTTATTTTAAAATTGTAACTATATTTCGAAATATTCTTTTTTACTGTATTTTTGATCAAAAAATGCAGCCTTGGTGAGCATAAGAGATTTCTTTCAAAAACATTTTTAAAAAATCTTACCGACCCCAAACTTTTAAAGCGTACTGTAATCTAAATAGGTAAATGTTACAATGATGACAGCTTTTAGCCATTGACATTTTAAGTTCACTCAAGATATTTAATTTAAAAAAGCTGTTTCCATCAGTTTGCTCAGTAGAGAAGATTGGTGTAGAGACTATGAGAAGTTCTGGCAGAGGAGGCATATGGAGAGAATGTCTGCCCAAGGGCACATGTTCCCTGACTTCTTACTCCAGTTCCCCTTCTGCTAGATCTAATGACCCATACGTGCTTATACTGACAGCGAATGTCGACATGCTTAGCCCCTTCGTAACTGCACACCTCAGCGTCTGCTGCCCAAGGGAGTTTCTGCCGGTTCTACAGCCATTCTGCAAGGGGAATAAAGTGTGACTGTGCCCCGTGCTTTCTTTCAAATTCATCAAAGCCTTGTGATCTCCATCTCAATGAGAGAGTCGTGAATTATAGAGCAGCAGCATCGGGGGTAGCAGATTCAACTTTAATGATGTCAAGAATGCTGTGAACAAACAGCAGTGCTCGCATAGCTCTGAGATGTCTAATCAGAATCGCATTCTCACATATCTCTCTTTATTTCTGTCTCCTGAACTTCTAGTGGAACGGAAGAGGGACACAGGGGGTATTCCCATGGAAACCGTGTCTCCTCTCCGTGCGAGTCTGTGCCGTGCTATGCAGGATGAAAGATGGTCTCAGTCTTGATTAAAAAACTGTAGGCAATGCTTCACCTGGGTCCATTGTATTGGAAAGTCATCTTGATGACTCCCCGGGGTTATCTCTCTTTTTCTAAATCTGACAGGTTAACACTATCAATTAGCAGCCATTGATCGGGTGAACAATAATAAAGGCTGGTTGAAAGATGATGCAGCCATTCACCTTCACCCCTGAGGCTATACTCACTCATACAGCTGTACACACAACAATGTGAAACGACTCACTAGAAAGGGGAAACTCACAGTTTTGAAACTTGCTAACGTTTCACACAGACATTACAGTATTTTGTGGTTTGGGTATTTTTTATAGTTTTATGTCGATTTACATTTTTTATAGTCTCGCCAAGATTTATTCTTGAGCAAGCAAAGTTTTTCTGGTCCCTTCCGAAAACAGAATGGAAAAAGAATGGGTCATTCCACTAAAAGGGTGCTTTTTGTGTCCCTCCCTAACATATGAGTAGAAACAGACTTTTAATGAATATCTGATACCAGTAAAATATCTGATATGATGAATATATGATGCCATTCTTTTATTCTATTATCTAAGCATTTTTCATAACACTTCTACAAAAATCCAGTAACTTTATTTTTATATGATTTAATATCTTCTTTCTTTCTGAGAAGCTTGTCCCCACTCATGTCTTTCTTTCTCCATGCTGTATTAGCAATTGAAATTTTATTTTAAACAAAAATGGAAATAAGAAGCTAGTATTTTTATTTCCTCCTTATATGGAAATGTATATGTATTTAATGTGTCAACACTGTTATCATCATAACCTTCTCTCTTTTTAAAATAATGAACAACACCATAAAAAAACCCATTTTCTTAGGGTTGTCTATAGAAGAAGATAAGTTATCATTGTTGAAAACAGCAAACCACTGGAAACTAGCTATTTGTAGAAATATCAGCATTAAACTGTCTTTCATTTTTTTAATGCAACATAAGAGAGATTATCTACAACCTTATTTGGTGGCAGGTATTACAGAACATAAAAAGAAAAAGAAAAAACAAACAAAAACATACTGTGTGTAGGGCCTTATGAGGCGTAGCGGCAAGGCAGGCAATTGCCTGGGGCCCCGCATTTTGAGGGGGCCCCTCTCGCGTTACGCTGGATGTGCTTGCTTTTTCCTCGTGATGCGTTGGCTGCTGTTTTCAAACTGGCACAGCGCTTACTCGTGCATTTGCTAATTTAAACATGAAGAGGACTTAACCATCTGGCAGCCAGAAGCAGAAAAAAGCAAGAAGAGGAGGGAAAGAGGAAACATGACAGCGGTAAATGATGGAGATAAGATTGACTATATAATTATATGACAAACAAATGTTTTTGTTGTTAATTCCAGGTTATTTTTGTTTAATTATTTGCAAGATGAATTACTGGTAATAGTCCAATTACTAATATGGTTACTGGGAAACAGGTTAGCTATGGTTGCACTTAGCAGCAGCATATTGTGTAGTACGGAGCCCCGCATGCAAGAAAAAATAAATCGTGGGCACAATTTATTAATTCGTTACCTCGATTTACTAGATCATGCGCACAATTTATTAATTCGTTCCCTCGTTCTAGGTAAATTGTGCACACAAAATAATAATTAGTTGTACTTCCTGTCCGCGTGCGCATTCTCATAAACATGTTGCTGCTATGTTGTCATGTTATGTTATGGACAGAGACACTTTAATTGGGTTTTATTTTGAGTTCAGCCTGTTCACAATTTATGTTCTATTATATGTGTTTTAACTACTTTTTGTATGTTGTATAAATATATATCTAGGTAACGAAGATATATAAACAAAATCTTTTAGAAGGGCCTCATCTATTAATTTTGCCTGGGGCCCCCACTTCATCTTGGTTCGCCTCTGCCTATAGAGTAGTATTGCATCCTTCATATCTCGGAAGACTCTAGTTTTATCAAATTTATATAAGACAGATACAGCTTTACACTTCTCTCTGAAAACATTCGAGCTCCTGGAGGCGTGCCGTGGGCGGAGTTTTAGAGTCACGAGCACGCAATGTTTTTGCATAGAGATGCAAGCTGTGACATCGACATTAATAAAACAGGAGCAAAAACTTTATTGACTTAAATTAACTGTCTAAAATTCAGATCCAGCCATATATATTAGATCCAGAATCGGATCCTGACGACTTCCGTAACCCAAATGAAGCATGTTGAGCGGAACTTTTGTGAATGTTTTAAAATTGTATGCAAAACAATCCCCCACTCTGTTCAGGATATATAGTACATACTGTACAAACAGTAAAACAATATTACATTAATTTAATCAGTGTAGAGTAGACTGCAGCCCTCTGTTGGTGAAAATAATCACTACACAATTACCCTGGTAACCAGCAATGTTAGTCAGGATTTTTTGCAGGGTGTTTTGAATGTGCTAAATAACAGGGATATTTCCGGGGACAGGACACCAAAAACCAAATTGTGTCCAGAAAATGGATGTCTGGTAATCCTAATACATAGTTGAGTTTTTGACAGGAATAACACCATGATGGTGATGTATCAGCAAGAGTTTGAAAAAAAAATAGTGATGTCCGGTTCGCGAACGAATCTTTCTATTGAACCGATTCTTTTTAGTGAACCGGTCGAACCAGTTCAACAAATCGGATTGAATCGTTTGAAACAGTTTGCGTCTCCAGTAAGCACTAATCCAGAAATTACTTAAATTACTCACTTTTTGATGTGACTGACACTCTCTCTGACTCGAAATAAACCAATATCCCGGAGTTATTCATTTAATCCAACAGTACACTGACTGAACTGCTGTGAAAAGAAAACTGATAACGAGCACGAGCAGAGCAGCGATTAAAGGTGGGGTAAGCGATTTTTCAAAAACCCCTGCCCCCACTGGACTGCTCATATTATTTTATTTGGGTCCGAACTGCAGTTCGTTTGCGTCATCAAGCCAGCAGCTGTTTACCCCGTTGCTTAGTAACAACAGCTCAGGAGAAGGCGGCAAATGCATAACATTGCTCTCTGCACTTTTATATATTTAAGTTTTTTTACCATTCGTTTTGTTTGCAAAGCTTCGGTACATAACGGCACTTACATCTGTCTTACGAATGTACTGCAAATGCTCTAAAGAACGCTGAAGGCAAACAGAAATGAGATATACAGCTCTCTATTACATAGAGAGCTACTCTAGTACATACAACTGTCTATTGTTATATACCTGTACATACAATTGTCGATTTGTATATTTTTTATTCCTTATTTTACTTGTTCTTTTCACGTCAGTCACGCTCAACAGGAAAGTGAGTGAAACACACACATAAACACACATTTTTATCAAATAATACGTCATTATTAGCGGTTCACTTTCGCAATTTGGTACGATTGCGTTCACATCAGCAGCGAACCGTATTGGAGTTCACATGAACCGTACCCCAGACCACCCTTTTTAAGCAGACTCGGGTACGGTTCGCGGGTGCGCACCCGAGGTCGGAAGACAGCGTTCACATCATCCAAACGAACCGAACCAATCAGCAGTAAGGGGCGTGTCTACTCATGATGTGGAGGAGAGAGCATTCAGTGCACTGTACGGACATTAGCCGAGCGACAGAAAGATAGAGATGGCGGATAAAAAACAAAAGAGGAAAACGTCTGCGGAACAAAAGAAGGCTTAAGGCAATAAGGCAAGAAGTAGGACCCGTGTAAATATCGGATCAGCTTTCCAGCGCTGGAGAGAACTGAAGGAGCGGAAGGCCTGCGATCGGACGCCGAGGTTGCTTTGTTTCTTCTCGATAGGTGAGTAACACCGTGTCTGCGCCCACAACAGCTAAAGTCTGTCTAGTACACTGGACACGATAAAGCGACCGTTGAAAATCATTTGAAATTTGTGTCAATACGTCATGCTTTTTTTTTTTTTTACTTTTGTACAGCAGTTATAGTTCATTCTAAATAAATTTTTTAATGTAGAATATGTGTTACATAAATACATGAAATGTAGAACATATAAAAAAGTGCCCGTGGCTCGTCTGCCAGTGGGTGCCCCCCATGCATAAAAGTGAAAGCCGAATTTCACAAAATTGGGTGTTATTTATTGGGAGTAGAATTATTTATTTATTTCAATGAATGTAATCGATTAGATATCATAATATTTAGGCTATAATATTATAAATCAGGTTGGTTTGTATTGCTGACGTAATATGTAAATGATATGCGTGCGGCCGGCGAGACTTGCACTTGAACCATAGTGCGGCCCGGTGGAAAAAAAGGTTGAGAACCACTGGTGTAGACAGTATCACTGATTATAATGAGTTCCATAGTATTTTGTCGCGCCGCGCCACTCGCGTCCGGTGTAGACACGGTGTAACATTGGTTTTGCTTTGTTTCACAGAACTAATCGTTGCCTGGGTTGCGTACATATGTGTGGGGCGGAGCTATCAAAATAGGGGCGTGCCCCTTTTGGGGTAGGGGCGTGTTTGTTTTGGTGATTTCTACCAGAAATCGCTTACCCCACCTTTAAGGCTAGAAGGGATACAACAAAAACTACTGGGCATGCGCACATCAATATAGCGTAATTTTTCAATATAGCGTAATTTTTCTCACACTGTACAACAATAATTACTATTTTTGCATTCTTGTAAGGGGTAGGTTTAGGGTTGGGGTAGGTGTAGACGTTAATAAAACACAATCTAATAGGTAGAAAATTCAATGTTAGCTTCCGGTTTTTGCTGTATCCCTTCTAGCCACAACCCAGAGCAGCTGATATTGATATACTGAGCATGTGTGCAGCATGCCATGTACTAACGAACATACACGGCTGCATTACAATTTTTTAAACAACTGATGGAGCAAAGGAAACATCTTTAAAGTATTATTCATTTTATTTATGTATTTTTTTTTTTTAAAGATGAATGTATCTGTGTTAAAGGACTTTGTGTGTTCAGTTGAGGATTCTCTTAGGTTATAAGCTAAAGGGGTTTTTATGATCTCGGTCAGGGATGTTGAACCATAATAATTGAGATGCTATGTTTAATAGGAAACAAGTGTACTGTAATTATAGTTAATGATGACACATTCACAAATAAACAATTGAGTGTTCAAGCAATACAATTTTAACATAGAACAATTGCTGAAAAAAATGCACTTACACACTTAACACACTGTACAGCATACAGCTATGTGGGGGAAGGGGTAGTTTATGCCCTTTGACTTTTGAGGTTACACCCAGTCTCCCTTGGCAACAGGGAGTCTAGACAGATTAATAAACCTAACCAAGAGATAATACATGACTGACTGCCTGGAGGGGGCTAATCTGGCGAAACGTAAGTTTATTTAATAACATAATGGATTATGCATCATAAGTGGATCATGGTTTCTGCACTGATGGAGACTAATTTATTCACTTTATATCTTCAAGACTTGTAAAACATCCTCGTTTGCACATCACTGCCTGTACCTGTATTTGGGTGCTTTAGTTGCAAAACTTAACTGTAAGAATCTTATCAGATCATGATGATGATGTTTTAACTGACTGAAGTTATGATTACTGACTTTATATATTTTAATGTGTTGAGTGTATTTTCATCCCGGCCCGGTACGATAGACTTGACATCATTACGTCATCACAAATTACGTCATTACATTAGGGTGTAAAAGAACCGGTGAACCGTTTTTTTTTAACCGGTTTAACCAAACTGTCCAAAAGAACCGGTTTGCGGAAAAGAACCGGACGTCCCATCACTGAAGAAAAACAGACCTACCAGAGTCGAGATCTAGAGGGCGCTGTGGAGAGCAAGATGTGGATGAGGAAGAAGAAGAGTGGGAAGCTACACAGGAAGATCCAATCTGAAATCCACTCCTGTAGCTCAGGTGTGGAACAGGAGCCCTGTGGCCATCAGGAACCTCATACAGCTAAATAAAAAAAAATAAAAAAATACACACAATATTACAATTACTTGAAGGTTTCCAGTTTTGCAAGTTTGAATATGCAAATTTTCATTATATCAGTCTTCACAATCAGTTAAAATGGTGAAAAGTGCTAAACCTACTCCACAGTAGTGAACTGATGAATTATGTGTGAAGACTTTCTCCAGCTCCAGATCTAGTCTCTCTTCACTTTGACGCAAGCGTGACGACAGTCGAGTCAATGACGCAGGTGGGATTAATAGAGCAGGGGACTGAGAAGAGAGAAAACACATACTGGTATTAGTTTGATTACAGAAGCCTTTATTGATACCTTTAGTCTACGCTTTTTTTACTTTTTAAAAAAAATTTTTTATTAAAAGATAGTGTTGTTGGGTCCAAGTCAAGTCCAAGTCCTTAACCAACTGAGTTTGCATCTGACTCCAACAGAAACTGGGAGTGTTGATATTCAATTAATTAACCATTATTCGTTGTGATGAAAAGAAATACAAATCGCATATTAATCTTTTTTTTTTAAATACTGGAATTTTGCCGAGCCCCTTAGTGGTTGAGAACAACTGCTCTAACAATAAACAACTTTAAACTTTTTCACTAATATTTTCATTAATAAATTTTAGTATGTTTACTTAGCTGCAGCGAGGACATGTTTCCTACATTTTCGTCCCCATAATGTATTTGAATTAAACACTCTTAAAAAGCACGTAATACATATTCAAACTCCTACGAATGATGGAAACGTCAAAGTTATCATGAAAAAAAAAACTAAAGCAAAACATAAAAAGATGGTTCTTATATTTTCAGTTCATGCTGGATGGTGTGATTTAAAATTTAAAATTACACAGGAAGGAAGAGCCTGATCAACATACAGTATAAAACAGCCCACCACAGTTTGCTTTTTGTGCACGACATTTAGGGGTGTGCAAAACCAAAACAATCATGACAAAATTCAATAAAGTTCTTGAATATATCTATATATATATATATATACTGTATATATATATATATATATATTTCAAAGTCTATATGCCATAAACCTTGAAAAATGTGGCTAATCTGCAACTAGTTGTTCTCCAATGTGGAGAATGAAGAATGTTACAAACACTGGTAAATGTAGCCACAGGGGGATATTTATAACACATTTCATTGTCAGCGAGTACTGCAATATGCTGCATTCTTGTTAATGTGACTAACAAACTTTGAAGTGAGTTTACTTTACAGTATATCTGATAAAGTGCTGTGTGTGTGATGTTGCAGATTGCTGGTCTACAATTTGGTGCAACAGTATGCTATAATGGATAAAAACTAACTAACAACTGCCATAACAAAATACCATATATCTATCTAAAACTAAACTGAAATTAAAAACCATAATACATAATGAAATGAAATAATGAAACTGTAATAACCCTAAGAAGTGTGATATCTGTTTGCAGCTGGCCAGCATGTGTTCAAAGCAGAACCGTTTTTGATACAACCACTCTTCCTGTTACTTTTTGCAATCCTCCTCACTTCCTCTAACATTTGCGTACATGTGTCAGAATATGGCACTTTAGTGCATTTGAAGGCTTCACCCGCAGACCACTGAACTTGTTTGAATTTTATGAGCATCTAGAAGCTTTTGGTGCAGCCAAGAATGTGCTTCCCTAAACTATAATACAAACAGAATTGTATTCTAATTTTGCGATAATATGTTGCAATATACTGATACATGACATGCAATGACATAGATTTCCACGCAAGAAAAAGGCTGAAAAATTAAATGTCAAAATAATCCACCCCCAAGTATGATACGATCCTTGGATATGGCTGGGATCCCTCCTTAAATGTAAGTTTGCCAAAGGTTAATAAAACTGTGTCTAAACATTGTGAAAAACACTTAACATGCCCTAATGTACCAAGACAGTGATAATAAAGATCAAATTAATACACTTTATGGACGATGCATACTACAGTATATACAGGCAAGCAGATGAGCCTAGAATATCAACACAACGTGCTAAATTACACTTTAAGTGCTTTGTTTAAAATGGTTTAGCTTAAATGCTTAACGTGAAACTTGGCATATTGCGTTTATGGGTTCATCTTTACATACATGCTTATACATACACTGAACAAAATTATAAATGCAACACTTGTTTTTCACAATTGGACAAATTCCGAATAGCTCTGTTTGATCTTATGTTGAGGCTGAAAAGGGAAATGTGGATTGGGAATGAGGAACCAGGGAGCATAGAACAGTTTGAAAGAGAGAATGACAGTATGTGTGTGTGCGACGCGTATATTAGTACCTGATGTTGGTTGTGCAGTTTCTCTTGATTGCCAACCAGAACGCCTGACCTTTTCTTCTGTTGCAGTTGTTTCAGCTTGAAAAACTTAAAACAAAAACAGTGTAAGGATAGGAAAGAGAAGAGAACCAGCAGATGCATGCAGTATGATGTAGATATAGTATTAAATCTTACATGACTCACAATACATGACCACACATGAACTATCTATAGGTTTCAAGCTATTTTCAGGAGTGAAGTGCCATATTTATTTAGACTTACTGAATCTGCACATACGTCACTTCCATCCTGGAGACGTTCTGAATTTCCCCATGATGCCGAACGTTTGTGAAATCCAACAGCCGTTGTTTCAGCTCCAGCTAACCAAGTGTGTGGTGTCTTTTACAAAAATATCAACCATTATAAAATCACATAAAACTACACTTCAGAATCGTTGTTTGAAGTTTATACAGCAACTTTGTTATATTTGGCCGGCTGATTTCTTAAGGGTTCACTGAATCATGTTTATTGATTTATTAGTCACCATTTATTCAAAACGTATTGTGCCAGGACTGAATATGTGCAACTTGAAAACAATTCGCGATCTACAGAAGAGAAATAGATTAACAGTTAATAATGACTACTGTCATATGTTCCTCATGTAATGCTATTGTACGGTCATATGAACTACTTTCATGGTGCATTTTTGTCCTCTTTTTAAAGTCGGCATGGAATGAAAATTCACCTCATTTGGTTACATCCGTGTTCACATTTTTTGGAAACTAGTACAATTAGACATTTTGCCATTAACCAGCACCATGTGCAAATAAAACCAGACAGAGACCAAAATAAGACAATTTAACAAGTAAGTGGGTAAAACAGTCTTAAGTCGATGATAATGGCTTAGATAATGAGGAACAGAAAACGGATGATATTTAAAAAATGAGAAAAGCTGATACACCCATTTCCCTTCACAGCTGAGCTGAGGGTTAAAGTTCATAGTGATTGCTGTGATGTAACCTAGTTTGAGCAAATGATGATGTCAGAGGATAACACAGATTTTGGTATATACCATGGTACTGCATGGCCCCGGTTACACTGGTATTAACATCTGTCCTGAGTGAGCAGTGTCAGGGAACTTTACTTTTAAAAATAATGCATTACAATACTGCATTTTTCCATAAAAAATAAAAATAACTAATTGCATTACCTAGTTACTCTTTATGGAAAGTAATGCATTATGTTACTTTTTGTCACACGGGCTGGGCTTGCTTATTTGTTTTTAATTAAAAAAAATAAAAATATATATATTTTTGGCAACTGTAAACACCAAAAGAGAAAATTAATAAGCCTCAGGCTAAAGGAAATGTCTCTCCACCTCACTTCCAATTTGTCTCAACACGGGGACAGGAAAGGTGTCAGTATTACAGTAAATAAATGGGAAAACAAAGTAACTTGCGTTACTTATTTGAAAAAATAACTCAGATATTTCTTTGTAAATTTAAAAGTAATGTGTTACTTTACTAGTTGCTTGGGAAATGTTATCTGATTACATAACTCACGTTAACTGTAATGCGTTATGAAATAATAACATATTTCATATCTATATATGTGGTATTTCTTCCAAGGGTGTAACAGTCCCGGGTGGGTGTCTTCAGCATGTATTGTTGGAGATAACTTTCCATCAGTGGTGGTTTGCATAGGGTGGAGTTGTGTGAGATAACACCTGAAAATGTACATTAATTGTTGCCTTATGTTCTTTTAGCAGAAGAGCTGTTTTGTGGTCAGTGTACTGACACATTTGTCAATTGTTTGTTTGAAAAGTGCTTATAAAAGTATTATCTGTCTTTTTGGGGAAGTCGTGGCCTAATGGTTAGAGAGTCGGACTCGTAACCCAAAGGTTGTGGGTTCAAGTCTCGTACCGGCAGGGATTGTAGGTGGGGGGAGTGAATGTACAGCTCTCCCGTGTGTGTGTGCACTTTGGATGGGATAAATGCAGAGCACTAATTCCGAGTATGGGTCACCATACTTGGCCACTTCACTCACTCACTTTAAAATAAATTATATTTTGCTATTTGGGGTTGCAGAGAGTTTTAGGAATAGAAATAATGAGACATTTTAGAGCCTTCAAAGAATGTTTTTGAGACTTTGATATAGAGTGATTTAAAGTGATCCAAGAATGCTTTTTCTGCGTATTTCATTTTGAGTTTCACTTGAGGAAAACATGCTTTCATTGACCCCATCTTCATCCAACAGGAAGGGCTTTTCATTTGCCCTTTGTCTTTTGTAAACCTATCTTTTAGAATATAGTCATTTTGAAGATCAAAAGTTATTCTTCAGCTTCACTCTGCTGCATGCTGTGAAATCAATCAAAGGTCACATCTTTTTGGCGAGCATATTTTGAACTGGCAGTCCCCATTTTGCATTTAGACACTTCTGTTAAGTTTTTTTTACTGCAGCAGTCCAAAGTGAAAAAAATTGTGTTGACCTTTGACCCATAATTGACACTTGTTCTTTGTTTGACCCCTGGGTCATGGTGACCCTAAATTTAAGTTATGTGAGATTTTATATCATAGGCCTTTTTGACTTGGTCCCACCAAGCAACCACCAAGAACACCCTAGCAACCACACAGCAACACACAAAAACTCAGAACATCATAGCAGCAGCATAGCAATGCCCTGGCAACCACCCAGAACAACCTAGCTAATACTCACATTTTTTTCAGAGAAGGCCAGAAGTGCGCTTTCAGTTCAATAAATGCATAACACAGAGCGAATAACTATGACTCACATTAGGACAAAAAAGGCAGTTTTATTGCGATTTAAATGACAAACAGCATAGTTTCCCATGGCTTTTTAAATGACAAAATAATGTGCAATGAATGAAGTTATTTAATGCTAATTGAGGGTGACAGCTGTCTAAGACAACACAGACACACATTCTCAAACAAACAGACTTTCAATTACACTGACAATGGAGGGGGGAAATCTAGTTTATCAGTTTTATATGATATTTTTATATGATTAAAATAAATGCAATGTTTCAAATCTTCTGCTAATATACTGAAAATGACAGTGGTCCACACACTGCAGACATATTGTAATGATGCAACAACAGATGACAAATACATGTCAAACATACAGAACAATACAACAGTATGCAAATATATACTGGTCCATTTGTTCACGTCCAGCACTGTCAGTCATTTAGCAATAGTATACTGTCATGTGCAGAGTGATCCCATCTTCAAAGTTACTTCAAGAGGCAAGAAAAGAGGAATAAGGCAGCTATTCCAGAAATGTCTTTCATTTTATTACCTCTGTAATTGTACAGCAGACTGTAAAGACATACACATCTTCTTGTATGTTGTTTGGCAGAGGAGAGATGTTTAGATGGTTGAAATGTGAGAATTTAAAATATAAAGTGATGATAATGTCAAAATACTAATTTGTAACTATAATATGCTTTCTTTCACACATTTTTCATGGTTAATTTCTGGCTGTAAGTGTCTGTATGGTTTTGTTTGTATGTATGTTCCCATAAGAGATTTTAAAGGGCAACAGAATGTGGGAAAGCTGTGTTGGGCTTTGAGACATGAAATTGTAATGAAAACTGGTTTCAGGTTTCAAGTCAGTCAGTGCATAGTCCACAGTTTGCCTTCACTGGTTACCACAACAAGCCAGGAGAAAGGTTTGAACAGCAAAGACATTCAGAGATACACTCATCTGAAAAGCTCTAACAGGATAAGTCTGTGTGGAAAATATCTCCCATCATAACTAAAGAGTTCTAGCTATATTTTTATCAATGATAATTTCATGAGAATTAGTGTAACAGGTGTTACACAGGCTGTAGCTGAGCCATAATATCATTGGATGTCTTAGCTGACAGTGCAGTTTCTCTCTGCTTGTATTGGTCTCATTTGGTGGTCCCTAGCTAGGGGTTAGAGCAGGACTGGGCTCTGCGCTGATGTTTACCAGGCACTCTGTCGACCTCAGGCTTGGCAGGGACTTACAGCTGGGTAAAGAGGACAGAGAACCACACAGGCCTAACATAGAGGGAGTGTATTCTTTTTCTGAAATTAAAATGGAAGAAATGGGAATTATTATTGAACACCAATAATAGCATTAGCAATAGAACAACAAACTTAGTTGGTTCACCCAAAAAAATGAAAATTCTGACATCATTTACTCTCCTTCATGTCATTACAAACCTCTATGCATTTCTTTCTTTTGCAGAACACAAAATAAGACCTTGTGAAGAATGCTGGTAACCAAACTATTTCAGTTACCATTGATTTCCATTATATGGTGAAAAAAAATCCTACTGTGACATTTCTCAAAACATGTTCCATAGAGAAAAGAAAATCAAACAGGTTTGCAATGATATGACATGTAAGTAAACTGTGATATAATTGTATTTTTTGGGGTGAACTAAGCCATTAAAGTCAACATGAAACAGCAATTGTCTTTTCTCTAATGTGATGTACGTAAGAATGAATTGGCTGTGGGCAGGACTTGATTTTGCCCATTGGCAGTAAAATAGATCGTTGGTGTCATGAATCCTGTCCATGGACTTCCATTACAGTGACTCTCGCACAACACAAACTGTTGCATGTCATCCCGGACTACATATCCCATCAGCCATTGCACTGATTGCACACAGCACTTATTGCACACAGCACTGATTGCACACAGCTGTCATCAATCACACATTCACTATAAATACACTCACTCAAACAACCATTCTCTGCCGAGTATTGTATGCGCTTATCGCCCGCAGTGATAGAGCCCTCTTTAGCTTCCTAGCCTAGCCCAGCCCAGCCCAGCCCAGCCTAGTCTTGCCTTGTCTGTTTTCCCAGTTTCTGTTCTTTGCCTGTTTTCCTGGATTTATCCCTTTAGTCTCGCCCTTGTGATTATGTTCGCCGATCGTTGACCTACGCTAGCCCTAGGACTATTCTTGTGTCTTGCCCGCCATATACCTGTTTGCCTCTGTTCGACCCTGCCTGTGTTTCTGACCTCCTCTGCTGGTAATAAAGCTTGCATATGGATCCGCACGTCTCACGTCTTGTCAGCCCCGTAACAGTTGGATTGTTGTTGTTTTCTAATTGCTACTGTGAGTGACAGGTTGTTGGGGAGGAATTATTGTTCAGCCCTCACACCGATACACATGTCAACAGAGAGGAGAAGAGGGCTGCATCCAAAATTGCATACTTCCCTACTATATAGTAGGCAAAAAAGTATTTAAAAAAGTAGCATTTCAGAATTCAAAGAATTCATGAAGCAGTTGGCAAAAAGTAATTTACTACTTCCAGCGAGATTCTGAAGTGTGCATCAGATCAAAGACTATAGAATACCCAAGACGTGTCACTCGTATAGTTTTGAATGGAGAAAAATGCAACACTCAATATGGCCGCTCTATCGAACGAAGCCCCGCCTTCTGAGTAAAAGAGCCAATCGCAAATGGGTAAAGTCAGTGCCTCACTGCAGCTGCCGTTAGAAGTCCTGGTTGCTATAGAAACGGTCAGCTTTCTGAGACGTGCGCTCAGGACTGCGCATGCGCACTGGCTGGTCTAGCCTGAAAA